CTCTGCCAATCCCACATTGTCTTAATGCAGCTATATGCTAAGTCTTAAAAATCAGGTACAGTGATTCTTCCCACTTTATTCTTGTTTTTCAAAATTGTTTGTATTCTAATTCCTTTGCTTACCTTATTTTAGGATAAGCCCCCTCTGTGTCTACAAAACAAACTACTGGGGTTTTGATAGGAATTGTATTAAACTTATGAATCAACTTGGGAAGAACTGACATCTAAATATATTGAATCTTCCAATCCAAGAACACAGAATGTTTCTATATTTGTGCATTTGATTTCTTCTACCAGTGTTTTGTAGTTTTAAGCATACAAGTCCTGTATATGTTTTGTTAGATCCATACTAATTTCTTTTTCGTTTGAGTGATTGTAAATGGTATTGTTTTTAATTTTGGTTTCCATGGGTTTGTAACTAATACATAGAAATATAGTTAATTTTTGTGTGTTGATTTTGTATCTTGCACTCTGCCAAACTCAGTAAGTTCTAGGAATTTTTGTAGATTCCTTGGTGTATTTCATACAGACTCTCATGTCATCTGCAGAGAGGGTAACTATTTTCTTTTCAATCTGTATGCCTTTTATTTCCTTTTCTTGTCTTATTGTGTTGGCTAGGACTTCCAGTATGATGTTGATTAGGAGTGATGAGAGTGGATGTCCCAATTGTAGGGAAAAGCATCCAGTCTTTCATCATTAAGTATGATGTTAACTCTAGTTTTTTTTGGAGATGCTCTTTATCAAGTTAAACAATTTCTCCTCTGCTCCTAGCTTACTGACAGTTTTTATCACTCACAAATGTTGCATTTTGTCAAAATTTTTTTGGTGTCAACTGATATGTTAATATGATTTTTCTTTCACACAGGGTTTTTGAAATCAGTACTGAAGAAAGCCTGACGACTACCTTACATTTTTCTGTCTTCTAGGGCCCCTCCCCAGGTATTCAGTTGCTACTACTCTAGTCCCCATGTGCCCCAAGAAATAGAACTAGAGCCCCCACATGGCCACACGCCAAATGTAAGCAGTGCTGCCCTCAGTATCCACTCTGGTTAGACAGTGAACATCAGCATAGTCAAGGCTTGGGAAGCTCTGCAATATAGTTCCTGGGTACCTTCAACATGAGTTATCAAACTTATTTGACCATGGAGCCCCTTTTGCAGTCCATTACATTCCTGTAGGACTTTGTCTGAAACACACGTAGGGCACCACTTGACTAATTCTGTCCCCTAAGTTGTAGATGATCCAAAGGCCAAGAGAAGTCCTTGACCATGGCTAGTTAGTGGCACAACAGACACAAAGTCCTGGTCTCTTGACCCTAGCCCACTATTCCTGCTCCTGACGTTGTTTTATGACATGCTAACAAACCAGCTGATGCTTTTTGCAGCACAAAAAACACTCATGAGTAAGAGGACTGCAACCATACCACATTCCAGCCCTATTTCAGTGGGCTGTGGATGGGTATGTAATACAGGTCTGGCCCGTCATAGCGTCTGTACTGTAAGGGTAGTGACTCTGGGATGGGAAAGTTGGGCTACCAAAACTCAATCCCAGCCTTTCTTCCTAGCTGCCTGACAGTTTGATTCCATCATGAATGACACAGTAACTATCTGGACCAGAAGTTCATGACCAATTGACTACCCCAGCAGAAACAAATGGTCACTGATGTCCTTCACTGTGGGAAGGTAACAGTGCCTAAGACACAAATTTGGGAAAACTAGGCAAGACCACACCAGATGTCATCTTTGTGTTTGGATCCAGAACCCATTTTGGTGGTGGCAAGACTACATACAGGCTTTTGTGTGATTTACTTGGATTATACAAAGAAGTGTGTCTACACACAGTTGCAAGATATGGCCTGTATGAGAAAGAAAAGACCTCAAGAGAACAGCGCAAGGAACGCAAGAACAAAATGAAGAGTCAGGGGGACTGCACAGCCCAATGCTGCTGCCGGCAAAAAGGGATAGATTCTAGAGTGACTTGATCTGGGATGAATGTGTGGATTTTTCACCCGAGGGCTAATAAACTACAAAATCTTTAAGTTGGGGGGGCACACAATACCAGAAACTCTCTTGAGATGATGCTAGAGGAAACTGGGCTAGAACTACCAAGGTCAACCAGACAGCTGCCTAAGAACAAATTTTAAGAAAGGTCCTTATTGACATACCTTAGACCACTGATCCAGTCATCCTTGAAGAGGCTACCTCCAGAATAAATTGCAAGAGGCCAGTTTTTGCCTAAAACCAGTTAAATGGAATCCTATCACTTGCCAGCAACGTTCTTGTTGTTAGCTGATGTCCATCCAGCCCACCTTCAACTCATGGTGACCCCAAGTACAACTGAAACACTGCCTAGTCCTGCATTATCTCCATGACAGTCTGTTTGTTGTGATCCAGAGGGTTTTCACTGGCTTATTTAAAAGTAGATTGCCAGGCCTTTCTTCCTAGTCCATCTGAGTCTGGGAACTCCGCTGAAAACGTTCAGCATCACAGCAACATGCAGGCCTCCACTGACAGATGGGGTGACTGTGCATTGGCGAGGAAATGGGTCTCCTGCATGGGAGGCAGGAACAAAATCTCACCTTATGTCTGTGTAAAGCAGATGGCCCAGAAAAAGTTATCACTTAACTGGCTAAACAGACGCCTTCTTAAGCAAGGGGCACCGACTCCCTCAACCACGACCAAGGTTGATCTTTTCTGCCTACCTCAACCCTATGCCCCGCTCCCCACCCAAACTTTCCGTAAAAAGAACACAGGCAGCCAGACAGCGTGGACAGTACTCGGTATACATCATACATTTATTAGTGAATATCCCTCTGAAATCAGCAACAATATTAAAAAAAATAATGATTGCACTACTTGGTCAAGCAGAACTAGCAACTTTCATTTTAAAAAAAGTACAAATCTGTTAAAAATTTCAATCAGTATACACATATATATAATACAACATACTAGTTATGTTAAATGCTACAAACCAATGTGAATCCAATGGAATGGGAAAAAACCACACATTTAAGCTTTAAGAACCATTTTTTTTCTCTATATATTAGCATTTTCTCAAATACATACATGGGAAAAATGAGGTAACTGTAAAATGTGCAAGGAACAGGGCCCCCCAAATTACATATATTTATATATATATATATTTATACACATGTAATTATATATATATATAGATATAAAACTTTTCTAACACAGAACACAGGCGCTGGACCCAGCCAGGGCTGGGGGATGGTGCCCACGGTCATGCCTAGGCCAGAAGTTGGTAAATCAGAGTAAACAATGACAAGCCCCCACCACAGGAAATCATTGGTAACATGGCATCTATAGCAAGGTCGGCAAATCACAAACATCCTAAATAACTGTTTTATAAATCTGTTTTTTAATGATTTTTTTTTTTTCAAAACGTTTCCCCCCCAATAGCTGCTCGTTGGCATCATGGCTGCAGCCGACACACCTCTGTAAGCCCATTTCCGCCTGCCCCAGGAACTGTAAGGGGGTTTTTACAAACCTTTTGTTGGGGTGGGGAAGGGAGGGGGGGTTGGAGTGGTGGTTGTCTTGTGTAAAACACATGGGTTTTTCAACACTGCTATAAATATAGAAACGTCACCTGGAGTTATATACAGTAAGACTTTGGGTTCTCCTCGGGGGTGGGGCCAGGCTGATGGGGCCCCGTGGCAGGCTGGGTGGGTTGGGGAGACCAGGGCAGCTGCGGGGAGAACGAGGGTGGTTGGAGCATCCCTGAGGCAGCAGGCGCCAGGGGGGCTGCCTGCTAGGATGTGCCGGCCCCACACGCAGTTCGTTCGGGGCAGCAACCCCAGCTGGGGGTAGGGGAGGATTGGGGACCAGGAAGTAGGGGGAGCTCAACCAGACCCTCTACAGGGGTCTCTCCTGGCCTTGCAGGGCAGTGTCAAGGCTGGAAAGGGCCCTCTGGAGGGGGGGCCACGCCCTCCTTGGTCCCTGTCCTCCAAGGACATCCCTGGAGGAGACTTGCCCAGGCAGGTGGCAGGCAGGCCCTGACTGGAGGGGGAAATGCCCTGAAAAGCAAACTGTCCCGGTCGGCTCTAGGGACATGTGCAGTACAGTGCATGGCAGTTATCAGCTGAGCACAGACCCTGCCCGCCCGGTCCAGCCCCAGCCGCTCACATGCACGCAGGCCAGGCGGCTCTGGCGGGCATCCCTGCCCAGGAGCACTCAGTCCTGGGTGGTTCCTACACCCCCCGATTAAACCAAAAGAAAAGAATGTTTTTAAAATCCACACCCCCAAATCCTACACACGATTTTGGGCCAAATGAATAAACAAAAACTGCTGCTCCTCACATTCATGCAAAACAACAGAGAGGGAGATCAGACAGGGGTCAGGCCTGGACAATGGCGCAGGGAGCGACCACCAGGAACACAGGGGTCACTCTCTGATATGGCCCTGACCCCTCTCAGGATGCCTGCTGCCTGGTAGGCAGGTGGGCTCTGTGCCCTCCAGCCTGGGGGTGGGGGGCTGGAATGTTGTGCCTGGGGCGAGTCTCCTCAGAGACAGACCCACTCTGTACAGCAGCCTCCATGGGCTAGCTACATGAGTCTGAGATCAAGGTGGGAGGACCCAGCCAGGGCTCAGAAAATGGCCTCATGCCCCATCTGCCCAAGCGCCTGCCAGTGCCACCTGGGGAGAGGGAATACCACTTCAGTGCAAGAGACCAGGTGACCCAGGAGGGGGCCCCTTACCCATCCTAGAACCCAAGGTCTCCACCAGCTGCACTGGGGGAAGGCACCCCTGGCTCCCAGTGCTGATAAGGAAGAGACAGGCCCAAGGGCAAACAAGGAAGAGGCCCAGTTACGGGACTCAGGCAGCTCCTTGGCAGGCGGACAGGCAGGCAGACCGGGGAAGGAGTCTTTGGAGCTTGGCAAATGCAGGGACTTATTGCAGGGGCATCTCGCGGGGCTGACCCTGGCACCAGCTCTGGAGAGGCAGACGGAGATGGTGGGGCAGGCTCAGGAACTCCCTCCCATCCTCCTGGGGTCCCACCCCCCCGAGTTTCCAGAGCTTCGGGCAGGGTTCTCTTGGGCAGCTGTGGGGCCTCACTCAGCCTCCCTGGGCACCTCGGAGGCATCGGCCCGGCAAATGGGGCATGTCCGGTTGGCCTAGGGGGGAACAACTACACATCAGGATCCATTCTCATTTGCCCCCCACTGTGCCCCTGCACTGCCCCCACCCCGTGTCTATTCACACCTGCCTAACTCTGGGGAACCTGGGACCTCTGAATGGAACTGAAACTTCTGGATGATACAAATGAGGAGGGAGACCCTCAAGGCCTGTCCTCCTCCTAACCACTCAGGAGCCCCTGGGAGCCAGCTCTGGCTGCATTACCTTCAGCCACTTGTCGACGCACTTGGTATGGAACTCATGGTTGCAAGGGAGGACTCGGAGCAGCTGCCGTGCTTCGAAGTCACTGAAGCAGACAACACACCTAGGAGAAGGCCCAGAGCTGTCCATGTCTGCCCTGATGGCCCAGGGAAAGCCCACCGCAGAGGGGTGGTATCCCACATTGGGTACCCTTCTCCCTCCCAGCACTCAGGGGGGTGGCAAGACGGGGCGGCACTCACAGCGTCTGCTCTGACTGATGGCTGTCGGGGTTGAAGCGGTATGATGGGAGCTGCTCAATGTCGGCTTTGGTGAGGCCTCGGGGCTTGGCATCGCCCAGCCGCTCCGCCAGGTTCAGGAGGGCCTGCATGGGGGTGGGAAGGGAGGGTCAGCAGCTTCAGGGCCGGAGCTCTCCCAGACCCCCTGGGGCAGGCTCCACCAGACCTCATAGTTCTCCATCTCCACATCGTCCACATCTAGATCCAGGCTGATGGTAGGCCCCATCGCAGTGGGTGACATTGGCAGCATGGAGCTGGAAGGAGACAGGCAAGGGAGCTCAGGGCCAAGGATGGGAGACATGGGTCCCTCCATGCAGACAAAGCCTGGAGCTCTGCCTGGTTCACATGGGTAGCCCTCCAGGTCTGTCTAGGTCTAGCCCCAGAGGCCCCAGAAGAACAAAGTGTTACAGGGGCTGTGGGGCAGAGCTGCTGGTACTTACAGGAAGTAGGGCAGGAAACTGGGGTAATAAGGTGGTGGTGGTGGCGGCGGTGGTGGCGGTGGCGGTAGCGGCTGTTGCAGACGGTATCTCTGGGTGTTCAGTCTCCGTGGCATCATGTGGGAATATGGCTGTGAAAGGGGGCCCAGGGGTAGGTCAACCCAGTGGCCTGACCCTGCCCCAGCCTAGATATCCCTGGCTACCTGAGGTGGAGGACCAGCACTTACCATGCCAAAGGGCAGCTCTTGGGGCAGCGGCTCATGGGGCAGGTAGTGCAGGGGCACAGATGGGGAGAGGGTGGGGCCAGGGGCCGAGGTGGAGTAGGTGAAGCTCCCCAGTGGGTGCTGGTCTCCTCGCAGGTCCACATCACTATCAAGCCGCTGCAAAGGCTGGGGGAGGCAGGATAGGGTCAGCAGCAGGCAGGCTGGTTGGCTGAGGGAAATACCACCCCAAACCACCCCACGCCTCAGACCTACCCCCAAGACTCACCATTCTTGGGTGCTGGGTCTGCAGTGACACGAACTGCCCGAGTGGCGCCATGTGGGTTGGCTGGGGGGGTGGGGCTGGCGGTGGTGGGTGCAGGATATAGTGGTCGCTGGAGATGAGGTGGGGGTAAGCCTGGTAGGGCACCGGAAGTTGCTGCATGGTGCACGCCTGGATCAGCTGCAGGAGAAGGTGGGGCTGGACAGTGCTCCTCTGCACTCCGGCCGGGGGCCACTCCATCTGCACGAGGTCTCCCCTTGCACACACCCCTGGCAGTTCTACCTCCTGGACTGTCCCATCCCTAGTGTAGGACACACTGTATTCGGGTTTGGGGTCCAGTGCTGTGTCACCAAGTGAAGGAACACACACTCCTGGAAGCTGGAGGCTCGACCAGCCTGGATGGGGTCAGAAGCTCAGCCTGGGGCACCTGACCCTGAGCCAGCTCTGAGCTGTCTGTCCAGTTGGAGCAGAGAGCTACGAGCCTGGGCCTGGGAGTTTCTGCTGGGGCTGGGGTGGGGAGTGGAGGTGGCACACTCACTGGGGGCGGGAGGCAGCAGAGGGGGTAGGGCTGTCCGCTGAACATCACGGAGCATGCTGGGAGCTGCTGGGCACTACAGCCAGGGATGTGCTGGCCCGCAGGCAAAGGGAAGCCTTGGGTTGTCACGGTGGTGACTGTGTAGGACAGAGGGACGGGTCCCTGGTGCACCTGTGGGTAAAGAGAAGTCCAGGTCTGGTCATGCAGGTTGCCCTAGAGACAAAGTTCTGCCAGGCCTAGCTTCAGTCTTTCTTTTTTCTAGCTGGGTGCCTACCTAAGTGCAGAGCTGGCTGCTCCCTGGCCCTAGGCCCACAGGGGAAGAGAGACCCCTCTGGGAATGTGGGAGGGGCTTCCAGCTTTGCCAGTCATCTACGATGTGGCCCTAAGGAATGCCCTTTTCTTCTCTTGGCCTCAGTTTACCTACCTGTAAAATGGAGCTAACAATGCCTCACTTGAGCATGCAGTGAGTCAAGTGGGATGAAGTCAGGGCTTTGCTACCACTGCTCCTAGATGAGCTTGCTGAGGCTGGTGGGAGGAGGTCAAGGTGTGTCCTGCCTACCTGGTCGTGGAGATCAACCATGAACGGGCTCTGCTGGGTGGCCGGGTGCAGCATTCGGGGGCTCCCGCCGGCAGGAGCCGAGGCTCGGCGCTCCTCTACAGGGAGGTGAGGTGGTCGGGGCAGTGGCTGCTGGGAGGGTAAGCGCTCATCCTGGGCAGGCGGGCTGGCCAGGGGGCCCTCGCGGCCGGGGCTGTACCACAGAGAGGAGGCCCCAGTAGGCCTGAGGGGGGGGACCACTCATTCACAGAGTGGGCAGAGCTGCTGGGTCCCACCCCACTTGGGCAGGAAGGGGGCTCATCCCTGTCCGCCATGACCCCACCCAAGCTGGTGGACCCAGCACCAGGGACTCCCTGGGCAGGGAGGCTCTTCCTACCTGTGCCGAAGCAGGCCTGGAGCACTGCTAGGCCCTGCTGAGAACTGCCGCTGACCCACAGGTATGCAGGGGGGCCACCTAGTCACTGCCAATGCCCATGGTTGCATCAGGGGTGTCAGGTGGTGGAAGGACTGGGCTGGGGCTCACACCCCTAGGAGGCAAACAGACAAAGAAACTGAGGCACAGAGAGACCCAATTGCCAGCCCTATCAGGGGTCAGGAGAGATCAAGCCTCTGCAGTCCAATGACAGAGGGCACGATGTTCCTTTGCTTCCATGCTCCCCACGGACTTGGGCCTCACCCAGTTTGGACACTGGGGTGACTCAGTGCAGACACACCAGAGGCAGGCTCGCTGGCCAGGGCTGTGGAGACCCCAGGCCTCAGCTTTTTTGGTCTATGAACAGGTCCCAAGTCCTCCCCTCAGTTGGGGTGAGGTCAGAGAGCTGGGCAGCTTGCAGCCAAGCCAGCAAGTTCTGGGGAGCCTCCTTCTGGTAGGGTCCCAGGGTACCCTATCCTGGTATAGGATGGCCTCCAGGAGGGCCTCTGGCTTCCTCTCTTCCACTGGAGATTCAAGAGCAATTCCAGACCTGTACCCACCTGGTTCCTGCTCTCAGAAACTCCCAGTTCGAGGCAGGACTGTATTTTTTCTTTCCTTAACTGATTGAAAAGCACCTATCCAACTACAGCCCTATCTATCCTTCAGAGAAGACACTATTAGGTACATTTTATGCAGAAAAACCTGAAGCTAACAGAGAAGAAAAGACTTGCCCAGGGCCCCACAATAAGTATCAACACAGAGGGGAGCTGACACCAAGGCCCTCCGTGCACCCTGATGCCAGTGGTGGTGGTGGTGGTGCAGCCTGAGGGCTTCATGGTGGGGCTGAGCAAGGAGGCTGGTACTGGTGGACTGATGGGTCTGGCACAAAGCCAAGCTCTTGCTCTGGGGGCCCTAAGAGCACCCCCAAAGTGGGAGGTGGGACTTGCTGAGAAAAAACAGGAAGAGCCTAAGCAATGAAGATAAGTGGGGATGGGGGCGCGCAGGGTCTCCAGCTCAATCTGAGACTTCCCCTTGAGGGTTGCTGAAGTTCAGATGCGGCACTGGCAGAGGAAGGCTCCAGAATCTGTCAGGACCTGCACAAAGTTGAAGGATGCCTCAAATAAGGCCAGCCCTTTGTTCACACCACTGCTGCCACAGAGAGGCCCCTCCAAACCTTCTCCAGCCAACCAAGCTCCTAAGCTTCCTTGATCCTGTACCCTCAGTGCCTCATTCCTCCTGCCAACAGCAGGAGGATGGTCTCCTGCGTGCCAGGTGTTCCAAGCAGGAGCCCTAATTCTCAGAACGAGCCTGTGGAGGCTTCTACTTTGTGGGGCTTGAGTCCTGGGCAGAGGTGCAGCAGGGCCCAGTGAGCCAACCTGAGTCCAGCATGGGCACCATGTAGAGGAGCTGACCACACAGGGCCCAGGCCCCAATTTGGCAGGTGATGAAGGCAGTGCCAATGTTTAAAACTTGGGAAATGACATAAAACTCTAAACTCATGGAGGGGAAAAAACCCCCAGAAAACCTGGCCACTGAGTCTTCATTCCATGCAGCCTTCTCAGCTGCCCCATTTACTTGGGCCTGAGCACTCTTTCCTGGACACCCAGGCCACAACAGGCCATTCCGTCTGCTCACCCTAGGTCTGTGACCCTTGGCATGGGCCAAGTGCATATACTCGTAGCCAGCACTGCAAACTTCAAGAAAAACTAAAGGAAACTCACAAATAGTGGGAAAAACAGATCAGGCCCCACCCACTATGGACAATGCAGATCTGATATCAAAATCTTTGGAGGGATGGGAACAAGGGCCTCTAGATGCTTAACAAAGTCCCTGGTAGATTCTCCAGCCAGGCTTGGGACTGACTCACTGCTCTAGCTGATCCTAGAAATCCGAAAGTCTCCTGTTCTGCCAATGAAGAGTATTAACAAAAACAAGTATAACAACTCCTCTGTGTGAAGCGCTTTATATGCACCATCTCCACATGAGTCCTCATAGCAACCCTTGGAAGGAGGGAAGCTTGAGACTCAGGCTCTGAGGGGTAAAGTCACAGGCCAGTCAGCTAGGGTTGAGTGAGCTGGGGTACAACCCAGGCAGTGTGACTGGGGCAATCATGATTAGCCAAACTGGGGGCCTCTACTGCTCCTCGTGTGCCAGGCCTTCTTACTGATGGCTGGCAATGCCAAGGGTTGGTTGTACAGAGCCCTCAGAAGCCCAGGCCTGTGGAAATCTCCTCTGTGGCCAGCTTGCGTCCAAGACACCCACTCTTTATAAAAGGGAAGATGGGAAGAAGCTCACAAACCAAACCAGCAGGCAGAAAGGACCTCTAGCTATGGATGACAGTGCCAAAAGCTACAACATCAACCTTCCCGTTCCCACACATGACACGGCTTGCCTTTCGGCCAGAGTCGTCACTAAAGACCTTAAGCACATTGCTTCCCCTCTCTGAGCCTCAACTTCTTCGTCTGTAAAATGGGAACAGTCAAATAACCACCTCCCAGCACAGCAACAAAGAGTGCTCAAAGGCAATGACAATAGAGACTTGTAAAGTTTAAACTCATTTTGGGTAAGTGATCGTTCATAGAAAATGATGTGTTGCACTCCACCCCCACCAGTACAAACAGGTGCCACTGCAAGCTCTGCAGGAGGCAGCAGGGAAAAAAGTGCTCTAGGGAAATAATCAAGCAGGGAGGGGCGGGGTCCAGGGCGCTTTAAACCCTACCAGGAACAGAGGTGTGTCATGGAGAGGACACACCTACCTTTAAAGTTGAGCAAACTGAGGCCCAGAGAAAGATAGTATTTGCTCTAGGCCACAAAGCCAGAGGTAAGACAGGACCAGGCAAAGAAAAAAGTATCCTGGCCACTCAGGCCCAGACTCCCCTTATCCACAATTTATTGGCATCCATGGTCCAAGGAAAGAACCTTGGTTCTCTATTCCAGGCCATAAAAGAGGTCAAAAGAGCACTATACTTCAGTCAAGATTAGTCCCACTGTGGAGAATGCAAGTGGAGCCCAGAGGGTAGCGAGCAACTTGCTCAAGGTCAAATAGCAAGCGTGGCCATATGGCCACCTTGCCAAACTCTTCTGTGCTGTGATCTCCGTGTCTGGGCAAACGTGGCCTTGCAGGTGCTAAACTCTGCTCTAAATCTAATCTGAAGGCAGTCACTGCACCGGGCATCCCCCCAAACCCCTCCCCCAAGACTGCCAACTTCCACTTCTTCTGCCCCAAGCAGCTAGCCCCACCCTGGTTTCAGGAACCCCTGCCCAAATGATTTGAGCTTTGGGGATGTTTGCAGGAGCAGGCACCTCCTTTTGCATATGAACAAAAGTCAGATCCTGGGAGCTAGAGTAGATTCTGGCAGGATTAGGCAGCTCCCACTTCCATTTTACCCCCGCCCCCGCGGCCAGGAAAGAAGACTCAATCCAGCTCTGCCAGATTAGCAAGTGAAGCTCCCCAATGTGTGGTGCCTGGAGGCAGCTGAGGGCTAGACCACCAGACTCAAAGATGTAAGTCCTTGGCCAACCCTGACTCCCCATGTGACCTTGGGCAAGGAAACGCCTCGCTTCTGTGAGCCTCAGTTGCTAAAACTGTAAAATGGGGGTGGAAATCTCTCCTCCCCAGAGTCCTCAAATAAAGCTAGGAAAAGCTAGAAGCCAAGAAACCAAGTAATCATATTAATAGCTGGGAAATCAGTGTCCCTGTGGCCAGGCTCCTCCCAACATCGCCCAGGCATAGGTTTGTAGGGCTCCGGAAAGGTTCCCCAGTCCACCCTACCCCCAGGGATGAAGCTGGGGGCCTGAGGCGCGGACACCGGGGCGAGAGATGCCTCCTCGTCACCCCCAATTCCTTTGTGCCGCGGTCAGAGGAACATAGCGGGGCAAGGGAACAGACTGCGGCGCTGGGGCCGGAGCGCTGTGACTTTAAGAGCCAAGGATACCGGACCATGTGCTCGGCGTGAGACAAAAGCAACAACAAAGGAAGTGGCGGCAGCAGGGGGAGGAGGCGGCTCCTTCGCCTCCAACCGCAGCGCTCAGCCTCCAGAGAGGGGAGATCCGGCCCGGCCTGGGGGACGCTTCGGGGAGTCCCTGATCCCACGGGTCTCGCGACCCCCAGCCCGAACTGCTCTTGATTAACCCTTGCGAAGCCAGCTAGATCTTGGCTCCCAGTCCCAGGAGACGGGGACAGGAGTCCCAGGGGTGTGGGAATTGGGAGTTTGGGGCCCTGGTCCCGACTCACCTTCGGCTGCCCGGCCACACGTTGATTCCTTTGTTCCCGTTCTAGGACAGCCAAGCTGGGCAGGGGGGCGGGGGGTGCCACCAAGGCCCTTTCAGAGCCCCTGCTCTGCGGAACAATGTGCTCCCCTCCCCACCCCCCGGTCCGGGGGCAGCCTGACTCCTTCCGGGGCTCTCTCTCTTTGTTGTCCGCCCGACCGTGTTTGCTTCCTCTAGGCCCACGCGCGGTCTGCCTCTCGGCCCAGGATCTCGGGAAGCGGAGGAAGGAAGGCAGTGCAGGACGCGGCAGGGTTTGCGCGGCTGCCAGCGGCTGGCCCTTTAAGAACTGTCCGCCGCCGCAGCGGAATGTAACAAACCTCACATTTGATTCACAACATTCGGAGCCGCGGGGTCGCGCGCCGGGTGGGAGGGGGCTCGCGGGGGCGCGCCGGGAGGCTCCGGCAAACAGTAGCCGGCTGCGAGCCGCCGGCGGCCCCGCCCCGCGCAAAAAGCTCCGCCCGGCAAGGTGTCCGAGCGCCAATCACTTGCCGCAACTGAGCACGTGACTAGCGGGTCGCCATCTTGAAAGACAGATTTATTTATTTATTTATTTTTAATTTTAAACCTCCTCTCACCCCCACCTTCGCACTTAAAGTTACCGCTGCTATAGTTAGAGGCAAGGGGCGGCGCCACATGGCCTCTCCTAAAAGATGTAGAGACCCCGGAAAGGGCAACACCAATCGGCTGCAACTCCAACATACTATGCAAACTCGCGAATTACCTTGCCTCTGAGCCTGTTTCCCTGCCTGAAAAATGGATCTCGCCGGGAGATTCGTAGTCCGGACTTACTGTGTCATGGTCCTCTCCTCGTGGATGGAGCGCCGCCTGAGCCACTGAAGTGCAAAGGGACTAACCACCTACGGGGCGGGGGTGGCTCTAGAGCCCGCCGAGTTGTAAGGCTGTCCCTAACAGCCCTGGGCCGGCCACCTTCCCGGAGATGACGTCAGCTCCAAGAGCTGCGGCACCTCGATGACATCATGCCCTAGCCGCCCTGCATCTCCTTGTTTATACTACGCGGCGGCTTTAAAAAGCTGGGACGGCCTGTATTGCCCAACGGACCAATGGCGGGCGACGGATGCAAAAGAGCTAACGTTTGCCGGAAAGTGCGATTGGCCCTGCGCGCGCTGACGTCACAGAGACATTTAACCGCCCCGCCCCCAGCATGGCTGAGGAAAGGGGCGGGGAAGTTTGTAGCTGCGGGTTGAGCTGCAGTGCCCGGGTGCTCTAGTGCCTTAAGGCTGGCTGGCGTACACGCTGAGAAGTCCCTTTCAGGGGGATTGGGGAACTAAGCCTAATGAAGCTTTTGTACATTCTTAGTTTCCTACTGTACTCCTCCCAGAAGCTATGAGAGGGATGTATTACCACAGCCCGCCCAGTTTATGGATGGGGAACTTGAAGATCAAGAGGAGCGTCATTTGTCGTCCCAGCTCACACAGCTGGAAGTGCGGCTGACGAGGAATTTTTACCCAATTTAAAACCAAGCCTAGTTCCCTTGTGCCTCGACGCCTCCCTGGGCAGACATACAAAGTAGCGTATTACCTCTACATCAATTATATAAGCAAAAAAATCAGTAACATCCTATATATCCAAGAGCTGAGGCAGGCTAAGTAAAGAAAGGTGCATTCATATAATAGCCGGATATCTCTGCAGCCACCACAGAGAGGCGGGTAGAGTGGCATGACACGGGGCTGCATCCAAAACAGACCCAACCAGGAGCCACCACAACATGCTAACATTTGTTAAACCTCTGTGGTGGGCCACTGGGGTGGGTGTGTCATTTTCTATACTTTTTGATATATTTCATAGCTCCAAATTTAAAAATAAAAAGTGAATACAAGATGCTGAATAGGGTATAACAGGTGTATCTTTTTTTTTTAAAAAAATTGGATTTATACAACAACGAATATAATATTTCTGGAAGGATATACAGGGCACTGGTTAACAGTTGCTCTCCCTAGGGAGAACTGGAACAGAAAACTGGGTCAGGAGGATAGACTTTGTATTGTATATGCTTTTGTATATATTTTTTTTAAAAAAACAATCCTGTACAATATAACCTACTGAAAATTTTAAAGAAAACTTCTGTGTCACAGCAACACAATGACTGAAGATGGTACCCAAAGGTCTGTTTGCAGATCTCTAAGCAAAATGGAATCCAGTTCATGATGCAGTGCCACAGATGCTACCCGCAACGAATATCAAACTGTTATCCATCACAGTTAAAACTATGTGTGCAATGGAACAAATGGTGTATAGGGTGAAGCCTTCCGCTAACTGTATCTTCATCATCAACTCTTCCTTCACTTTCCCTTATGAATTGTGCCTCCCTAAAATATGTTGGGGAGCTCTGGTAGCATAGTGCCTAAGGCATTTGACTGCTAACCAGAAGGCTAGCGGTTCAAACCCACCAGCCACTCCTCAGAAGGAAGGATGGGCAATCTACTTCCATAGTGTTACTGCCTCGGAAACCCAAGGAGGGGTCGCTATGAGTTGGGTCCGACTGGATGGCAAATAACAACAACAACAAAATATTTGTTAACTTGGCTGGGCCATAAGTCTCAGTGGTTTGGCAGTTATGTAATGATATAATCATCCCATATGATGTGATCTGATGTGACCAGCCAGTAAGTTTTAAAGGGCTTAGGGTAGGATGCAAAATCCTTACTCAGGTCACAGCCCTGATCCAAAAAGGGGAGTTTCCCTAGGGTGTCTTACAAGAGATAAAAGGAGTGAGAAGTAAGCAGAGAAGGGACCTATGAGCAACAAGAAAGAAGAGCTGGGAGCAGAGTGGGTATCCTTTGGATCTTGAGTCCTTGCACTAAGAACCTCCTAGACTCCGGGGAAGACTGATGCCAAGCCAAAAGAAAATTGCCCAGAAACAGAAGCTACAAGAGATAAAGATCTTCCTTTAGAGCTGACAAAAGCAAGCCTTATCCTAGAGCTGGCACTCTGAATTTGGATTTCTAGCTTGAATGTTGCACAAATAAAATTTTGAAGATAATTCAAATATACTTCCAGTAGTATATTGACAGGGAACTGCCAGAAATACAAGTTGGATTCAGAGGAGGATGTTGAATGAGGGATGTCATTGCTGATGTCAGATAGATCTTGGCTGAAAGCAAAGAATATCAGAAAGATGTTTACCTGTGTTTTATTGACACTATGCAAAGGTATTCAACTGTGTGGATCATAACAAAAAATTCAAAAGCAAGTTTCCTCTTCATCTTGTCATTCCCGGCATAGTAGCCCATATGACTGTCCAATTCAAAATAGCTGATACCAGTCCATTTCAGCTAACTCATGCTCAGGATAATGATCTTTATGCATTCCATTTCATTTTTGACAACTTTCAATTTTCCTAGATTCATATGCTGTACATTCCACATATGGATGTTTACCTGTGTTTTACTGACTATGCAAAGAAAGGCATTCAACAATGTGGATCATACCAAATTATGGACAACATTGTGAAGAATGGGAATTCCAGAACACTTAAATTGTACTCATGAGGAATCTGTACATAGACCAAGAGGCAGTCATTTGAACAGAACAAGGGGATACTGAATGCCTTAAAATCAGGTAGGGTGTGGGTCAGGGTTGTATTCTTTCACCCTACTTATTCAATATGTATGCTGAGCAAATAATCCAAGATGCTGGAAGATATGAAGAAGAATGTGGCATCATGACTGGAGGAAGACTCATTAACAACCTGTGATATGCAGATGACATAACCTTGCTTGCTGAAAGCAGAGGACTTGAAGCACTTACTGATGACGATCACAGACTACAGCCTTCAGTATGGACCACAACTCAACATAATGAAAAAAATCCTTACAACTGAACCAATAAGCAACATCATGATAAATGGAAAAAAGATTAAAGTTTCAAGGATTTCATTTTACTTTGATCCATAATTAGGGCCTGGAGAAGCAGCAGTTAAGAAATCAAACAACATATTGCATTGGGAAAATCTGCTGTGAAAGACCTCTTTAGTGTTTAAGACCAAACATGTCACTTTGAAGACTAAGATGCACCTGACCCAAGCCATGGTATTTCAATAGCTTCATATGCATATGAGAGCTGGACAATGAATAAGGAAGACTGTAGAAGAACTGAAGCATTTGAATTGTGCTGTTGGTGAAGAATATTGAAATGTACCACAGACTTAGAGAAGAATGAACAGATGTGTCTTGGAAGAAGTACAGCTGGAATGCTACTTAGAAGCAAGAATGGCCAGATTTTGTCTTTCGTACTTTGTCATGTCAGAAGGGACCAGTCCCTGAAGAAGGGTATCATGCTTGGTAAAGTAGAGGGTCATCGTAAAATGGGAAGACCTCAATAAGATGCATTGACAGAGTGGCTGCGATGATGGGCTCAAGCATGGCAACGATTGTGAGGCTGGCACAGGACCAGGCAGTGTTTTGTTCTGTTGTACATGGGGTCGCTATGGTTGAAACCAACTGAATGGCACCCAACAACAACAACAAAACTATGAGAGAATGCATTTCTATTTGTTAGAGCTATCCACTTGTATTTCTGACACAGCACTAGATAACTAAGACAATTTGTACCAGAAGAGTAAGGTGCTGCTCTAAAAGTATTAAATGTGGAAATGGTTTTGGAATTGGTTAATGGGTGAAGTCAAGAAGAGTTTTACGGTTACTCAATGGTAAAAGCCCAGATTGCCTTGAAGAGATTGTTGGTGGAATTATGGACATCAAAGGTAAGTCTGGTGAGGGCTCAGAAGGAAGTGAGGAGAGCTGTAACCAGAGATGGTGCAGCTAGTGAGAATAATAGAGAAACAGCTGTAGCAGAAGCAGGAGACCAGCACAAGACGGTGCAGGAGCTGACTCTTGGAGCAAGAGAGCTGAGTGCCTTTGGCCAGGAGGCTCCCTGGTGGAACGCCTGTCAGTGCAGGTTGTCTTGCCAGCCCAGAGTGAGAGAGCTGAGTACCTTTGGGCCAAGGCTTACTGCTGAAGTGGGTGCCTCCAGGTACTTGTCAGTAAAGCTAAAGACCTTTGTAACACTTGCTTGAGCAGGACAGAGGCCAGGGTGGCCCAAGAGGTCCGAGGGGCCAACAGGCCAAGGAACTAAGAAGTAGAAGCTGAAGTGACAAGTAGCATGGAAGCAGAGCCACCTTGACCTCAAAGGGTGGGGCCACAGCCGCCTAGGTTTCAAAGGTTCAGATCGTCACCAACTCAGTTCTGGAGTGTGGGGCTGCCTTTCACAAATGCCAGGGGGATGGGGCTGGATGCACTACCCAAAGCTGAGGGGTCAGGGTTGACATGCCAAAGGGGCATAAGAAGCCTTCCAGGGCTGAAGGGATGGGACTACCACTAAGAGAATGGTAACTCCCAAAGATGAAGGAGCAGAGAAGCGGGAACAGAGTTGCCATCCCAGTGGGCCTGGAAGGAGGAGTTGAAGCCCAAGGCTGCAAGCCCTCCACCAATATTTCAGAGGGTGGCTAACACCCAGAGTCTGGAGACAAGGGCCACTGCCTAGATGGTCTCAGAGAACAGAAGATTATTTTCAAGCCTTGAAAGCTAATACAAAATTGTTCTGCTTGGTTTTGGACTTTCTTAGTGCCCATTATCCCTTTCCCTCCAATTTCTCCCATTAGTAATGGAAACATCTACCTTGCACCTGTTTCACCATTGTGTGAAGAGTTTTGGGATGATATAATGGGGTGAAAATATTTCGCATGTGGCAAAGACATGAATTTTGGGAGGCCAAAGGGTACAATATTAATGGATTTGTAGCCCCACAAACAAAATATGTATCACCTCAGCTGGGCCATAATTCTCAGTGATTTGGCAGTTATATGATATAATTTTCCCACATGATGTGGCCTGATTGATCAGTCAATCAGTTGTAAGCGGTTAGGGTGGGATGCAACACCCTTACTCAAGTCACAGTCCTGATCTGATGATGTAAGGGGAATTACCCTAGCTGTGGCTTATGTCACCTTTTATCTTACAAGAGATAAAAGGAGGAAGCAGCAGCAGAGGAGGGACTAACTACCAGCAAGAAAGAAGAAGTGAAAGAACAATGTGTCCTTTGGACCCAGGATCTCTGTGCTAAGAACCTCCTAGA